CTAGAATCTTTTCTCTTGGAGCCTATAGTGATCACACATACACAGACACGAACGCGCGCACGTTCACATGTGCGTGTCTATCTGTCTGTGATTTCTTTGGGAAAACAACCAATATTGTCTAATCTGTAGCACTGCAATGGCAAAAATTTGTAATAGATTCTGACAAAATGTGATATCAAATATGAATGGGAAATATTTAATGTATTGATAAAGTTATAATGAATAATTCTTAATTTACTGTGCTTTCTTTGCGGCTTTTTTATGTTTCTGGGAAATAAAAATGTTTAAAATATTTTTGACCGTTTTTCTGTGCTGCAATAGGTTCAGAATACACACACTGATATAGTCATCAGTATATATCAACCAAATATCCCGAGAGAAGCCGGATACTTTTGCTAGTGAATGAATATTTGCTATGAAATTGTTATCAGTGCTATAAGTGTAGCTACCAGTCTGACCGCCAATTTTGATTTCTTTCTTCTTTTAAGTCGCACGCTCAATCTTTTTTTGGCTACACCCTTTTTCACACATAATGGGTTTTGGATTAGATTTAAAAGAACCTGCCAAAAAAAATGAAAGAACAACGTTACAACAATATTTAAGGATTTAATTCCTCGTATGTTAGGTGATTCCTATGAGAAAATTTTAAATAAATTAGTTTACACTGAGGGTTATTTAAAATTTTAAATAAATTTAGGATCCCGTTGAAAATTATAGTTTCTGTGAAATAAATGACTTAAATATAGAAAATGATTAACACGTAGAATACTATTCAGTATCTTAATGCTCTGGTAACAGTAATGCTGACATAAATAATTTGAGAAACCATTGTAACCGATATTATATTGCACGGTTACTTGCTTTGATTTTCGAACTTATTTATGTGCCATCTCATTATTTTGTTTTAGAAAAATCGATAATTGGGGATATCATATCAAACTGATATATTTCTTGAATTTTGAAACAAAGCAAGACTTTTTTATTATCTATGTTTTCTTCAAACATCTCTTTAGTATTTTTTAAGAAATTGTTGATACACTGTGTGATGTTTTTATGTTGTTGTTTTTTCCATCTCCAAAACCAATTAAGATGCAAATTACAATAATCAACGAATTTCTTAATTCATTTAATTTATACCCCCCAATGGCAGAGCGGTATGTCTGCGGACTTACAACGCTAAAAACCGGGTTTCGATACCCGTGGTGGGCAGAGGACAGATAGCCCATCGTATAGTTTTGTACTTAATTACAAACGAACCATCTAATTTATTGGCGATTTATAATTTTAATTGAAATATGATTCAATTTAAGTTCTATTAGCGTCAAAATTATCAAAGAGTAGAGTAATTAAATTATTTGTAAGAACTCGTTGTTAGCCAAGTTGTTTTAACTTTTATTAATTATATATATATTTGCTACTTTGGCCATAAAATTGATAACTGGAAAATAACACAGGTACATATCGGTTCGAAATATTTTTTTGCATTTGGATATAAATGTGGGAATTAAACATATAGGAAAATGTTACGTCTACAGTTCCACTATAGACTTCAGCTCCTCTTGTTAAAATTTTCTTATTTAACATGAATGCAGACAACACACTGATAAATATTTATAATTATTTAAAATCACCAATTGACTTAGAAAAACCAAAATATTTATGTCATCAACAAATACATTAATTGTATTGTTTACTATTAGTATATTCAATTAAAGTTAAGCCTAACATTTAAGACTCAATCTAGGCCTATCCTCGGATAAAAATATTAAATGTAAGCCTTTCTTGGGCTAAAGTCATCAAAATAACATTTTTAATAAAAAAGTCTTAATTCTTTGTGTGAAGTATATAATTTCAGGACTAACTTTATCCGTTGTTATCAATAATTGATAAAAGTCTCTGCTAGGCGGCGGTGCTACTGTTCGTTCATCAAGGAGGACATTATCTTTTACTAGAACAAAACTTGAAGAAGACATTTTGTCGTTAGTTTCTCTTGATCTTCTTAATGAGCCTGTCACCTAACGGTAAACAAAACAAATTTAACTATTACATCCATATTATCAATCAATACAGGTACAGACTGACAATAACAGAAAGCAGACAAACATAATCAACAGTCTATTTAGTAAATGATGGTGTGAAACTACTAATTTTATTACTGAATTTTGCTGCTTTAACAAGAAACAAATGTTCTTTCTTGTAAACAGAATGTTGCAAGGAAATTGATAGCGAGGTGTTTTCGTAGTTGAAGTGATAATTAGATTTCAAAAATTGCCGACAACATTTTTTGCTCTTTTCTCCCCTTTCACCTACCTATATATATATATATACCTATATAGCATAAATAATTTTGTACTTTTGGAGGATTTTTAATTCATGAATAGTTTAACCGTATAGCCATTGCTTTTTTAACACTAATACACATACAAAGTAACATAAAACCTTTTACAATAAAAATTAATGCAATGGTGATCGTATATATATATATATCAAACAAAAAATTTAGACAATGCAATACATAGAAATCAGTTATTTTTACATTAGACCTTTTATCATTGAAGAAAATAAAACACTATATCACCCTATCGGCCAACACTTAACAACTATATGAATACATATACATCCAGGATTTTATAATACATAAAAAATACAGTAGAAACATTTACAATAAGCATACAATTAGAATAACATTCACATTTATATATACAAAAGAAATTCATTTACAACCACATACAAAAAATCCATATCCTTTAACAAAGATACAATAAATGAAGAATCATACCCTTTAGTACAAAATACAAAAACTTTCATCGATGAATATTGATAACAAAAAGTCAAACACAAATATCACAGATCCTTTTCATATTAAATAAAATCCAAAACATGCTAAGCAATTAAAATACAACATAAAATTTTAAATAAATCTCAAAGTTTAAAATACAAAACACAACATAAGAATAAGGAACCATATAACATGGATAATTAAACATGACAAAACTAAAAACAAAGAAAGGCACAGAGATATACGTACGTATATAACACTTTTAAGTTACTAAAACAAAATAACAACACATAATAGTTATGCTTTCCCAATGATAAGCACGCAATTCTATTCCGTTGCCTTTACTTCTGGCTTGTCAGCAGATCATCCCCTAAGTGTTTTTTTTTTATCTTCTTATTTAACATAACATTATTAATACATGTAAATGT